CCCGTCCGACGACCATGTTCCTTTGCGTTTAAACAATAGATTGTTTTGATGTGACGTCATAGTGAAATAGGGCAATTCAATACAATGACATCACTCGTATGGTGGGAAAAAAAAGGACTTCAAGTCCAAAACGAAAAGCAGTTCTACTGTAAAAAGTTTTTTCTTACTTTTTCTTCAAGACAGGAATCGTTGTCCAAAATTCTAATTGTTTCAGGAGGAATTTTTAAAAATCATTGAGAACATTTTTCGTTTTATTATAGCGGTTCTTGTGAGAAATAGACCTCCTCGGCTCTGACGTAATGTAGTCCCATTTCAGGCCACGTGTCATTCCCTAGAGTATTATTTCTTTGTTTAAGGTTTGCGCTCGGTTGCACATGAGAAGACACATGAATATGGTTACAACTCAAACAAAGAATATTATTCTCAAGGGAATGACACGTGGTCTGAAATGGGATAACATTACGCTCGAGCGCATCATAGCCGAGGATGTCTATTGGACCTGGAAATACGTCACAACTTCAAAGCTTTATCAATATTTGGCAGACAAGTTCTATAGACCAACCTTATCAATACTAGCTTTCGATTGTTCAGTCCTGTTCTTATTACCGACGTCAGCTGCCTCAAGATCTGGTAAAACCTTGTAGAAACAATCCAATACAGGATAAATATATTATTGTCTTGAGGCCGGTTTAGAACGGTACGATTTTCGCCTACAACTATCGTATACAACACGCTCGCGCCATCCTACAACTCGAGTCGTAGTGTGTAAATCAAGCCTACAACTCGCCTACGACAGACGCGAGCGTGTTGTATACGATAGTTGTAGGCGAAAATCGTACCGTCTAAACCGGCCTTGAGAGGCAAGGCCAAAACTATTTTACTTTCATAGTTGGGGGTGGTTGGACTGACCGGCAAATACCCCCCCCCCCCCTCCCCACACACACACGCTCCACACACACTCGCCCCACACACACACGCCCCACACACACACACACCCTTTATTCTTAGAGGCCTGTTGAAATGCTCAACATTGAATATCCATTAGCCTTTCAAGAGTTCTAGAAATGCGTTGCATTGTGGGCTGTTTTGAGGGACGCTTCATCAGCAGTTGACATTACATCCTCTATATATGTTTTCTTATTTACCACGGCAGTCGACCAATCAGAAAGCGAGGAAATTTACATGTGTGGGTGGTAAAACAGTCAAACATACCACTTTGAATGGGTTGACGAATCCAGCCATAATCTCCTTAGCCTTCTCGAGTCCTTCGTTATGAGGTCCAGCTTTCTGGAAAATAAATATCAGCTCAGTTGATACTTCAGAACAGAATTCTTGGATCACATTTATTCAAAAAGTAAAGATACCTAGCTAAAAACTAGTGTGAGCTGCGTCGGTGTTTCTAATGAAACAGTAATGATAAAAAGGGATAATTATACACCGTGAAAAGATGATTTTTTAAATTCAAAAAGTGTTTAGGGCCAACAGATTTTCTTTAACAAATTCTCATGTCGCTTTTTGGCATAACCCACCCCTCCCCTGATAGTTACAATACTTTTTTTCTCCAAATCATTTTTAATATCATTATAGTGCACTCAACAAAATTACTCGACTCTGATTGGTCGAGAGGAGTACAATTATAGCGTTAATTGTACTCCGTAGGGGTACCGAATTAAGTCGCTATGGCAACACGGCCAAAACAATGTCAAAACAATTATTTTCTATCATTTTGTATTTAAAAAACGTATAAATAAAATTTTAAAGCCGTAAGAACTAATCTTTTTTATGCATTTCAGTTGCGCGATGGACTGAAAATCGGCCGCCAAATAGACAAAGATGAACGGCGTCGCTTCGCATTTTTTACTGAAATTTTGTTGAGTGAACTATAAACAAAAAATCGCACGAACTTCTCGTACAATTTGGAAATTAATAGACACGAGTAATGTTTTGAAAGTTCTTTAATTGCACTCGCCTAAAGGCTCGTGTAATTACAAGAACTTTCAAAACATTACTCGTGTCTATTAATTTCCAAATTGTACTCGAGATCGTGCGATTTCCTATACTAATTGCACTTTAATACATCGCTCTTGTTAGGGACCAGCTTTTTTGGAAAAGTAGAGAGTTTTGGATTAACGTTTCTTCTCGCAAACTGAAAACATGACCACTTTTTCATCGTTTTCCTGTATTTCACTTTACACAGAGAAAGGCGGATTTTTCAAAAGTCTAGTATCTTTTCAAAGAGTTTAAACAAGAGAAAATTAACTAAGAGAAAGAATCCCCGTACCCCATCTTGTATACACTTTGATGCTATTTTTAACTCGTTACCATGCCCGCGCGATAATCATGCTGCCCTTTAATGCCTCGTTTTAGGACACGAAAAGCGCCATATTTTGCTACGTCCACGACAAAAACACAGGCTTCTTTTTATTAATGCAAGACTGGAAGCCGCCTACCCTCAAGAAATCAACCAATCAGTCTCTTCGCTCAAAATATCTCCAAGCTAAAAATAGCATCAACCTGTGCACATGATGGTTACAAGGCTATATAGGGGGGATTCCTTCTCTTAGTTCATATTCTCTTGGTTTAAATAGAAGACGGAAACCTGACATTCTCAAATGTAGAAGTAAATAAAATAAGTGCAGAGGTCCAATATTAGTCATTCCGAGATTGAGGAGAAAAACTGGGTCGAGTTGGCATTGCAGTGCATTTTGGGGCTGTTTTAGGGGATGAATTAGGACAGGCAGCCCAAACAAGGTTCCTGTGTATGGTTTATAAGGGAATGTGTGGGATTTATGATTAAGGACATGAAAATAAAATGTTTCACTCAACAATTTGCCTCAAAACTTGCTGCAGTTGTTGCTTTTACTTTGTGCAGTCTTCTGGCGAAGTTTCGGCGCGATTTGAGGCCGTTTAGTGGGTTTTTTCAAAATCCGCTCTTCTCTCGCTAAATTGTGGATTTAGCCGCCATCCTGGAAATATGTCCCTCATAAGTCTTGCATGCCAATTCGACCCAGTGTTTCCCTCAACCTCGGAATGGCTGATAAATAGGTCCTTTGCAGTTAACGGTCACGTGTCTGTACTGGTGAGCAATTTTTTAAATTTTATTTTAAATTGGTGATTCTTTTTAGCTACTTGTAAAGAACTGAATAAACTGAGCTACTTGTAAAGAACTGAATAAAACGATGTGTAACCAGTGTGTCACGAAATGCAGTTTTATTACGATCTCTCGATAAAGGTTGCAGAAATTTCGTTTGCTCACCAGTATATTTCACCCATGGGAATCAAGATGTTCATTCATTTGCTCTCAGTGAATTAATCAGCACGTGATTACTGAGCTGCAAAGGGCCTATTTGTTTCAGCACGTAGCCCCGTACTGAAAACTTTGTGCGTGACAAGCGAAAAATGGTTCACACTTTTAGTTACGAACTAGGATGGTGCTGATCAATAAAACCATCATAAACAAGGTATAAGTACCTGTGGATAGTCGAAAATACTAATTGACGGTTTCATGGTTTTGACTTGTGGTCCAGTGGGTATGTAAGCCTTCACAGGTCTTGGAGTTGTTGACACTTGGCTCGCTGAAACACAAAAATAATTCTAATAGTCGCTGCCTATTAGTTGTGAAAATAGAGCTCTATTTTCAGTGTCCATAACCTTTGGCCTCTTTGGTCTGGCGAAATGTTTACCCATTTGAAACCACGTGTCATTCCCTAGAGTATCATTACTTTGTTTAACGGTTGCCCATGAGTAGACTCATGAATATGGATACCACTCAAACAAAGAATCTTATTCTCAAGAGAATGACACGTGGTCTAAAACAGGTAAAACATTACCACCAAGTGAATTTGATCTATTGTAAACCTCTACCTTGGGCGTTATGTTTTTCCATTTCATACCACGTAACATTCCATAGAGTATCATTACTTTGTTTAACGGTTGCCCATGAGAAGACACATGAATGTGGATACAACCAAAAAAGGGGAATGACACAGCTTGAAATCTAAACCTAATGCATTCCCCTTTCTGACCATGTGTCATTCCATGTATATGGATGAATCTTATTCGCAATGACACGTGGTCTTAAATGAGAGAACATTACACCCAAGGTAAAAGTGTCGATTGTGTTTTACAGTTGAAGTGATAGACCAAAAGCGAGTGCGAGTGTTTGATCAGGGCATCCAAACACCGAGAAACAGATGAAAGCAGAGTCCGTTAGGCCGTTTTTGATCAAGTATCAAGGTGCGTGCACGTGACTACAATGCAAAGTCGCCATTGGTCATTGACCTCATGAATTATTAATGCATTTGAGAAAGGAGTCCTACCATATTGACTCGCCCTTTCTATACTTTTGCTTCTAGTTTCTTTCACGTCTAGTCTTGCTACCACGGGAGACCTAGAGCTTGTTTCCATGGGTGTGGCTTCTGTTGAAGAGATGTTCTCCTGGGAAAGAAAATAAATGAATAAGAAATGAATAAAATGATAATAAACAAGAAAAAGAAAAGGAAAATAGGATAAAGAACTAGCGGAAAGGTGTGCAACTGAACTGACGATTCGGGCGTTAGCCCTTTGTCGGGATAAGACTGTTGCCATTATCAATAGGAGAGAATGATGAAAGGTGTGTGGAAGAGTGGGAGAAAGAGAAGGGGATGGAAGAAGAAATGAAAAAAGGAAGAGAAAGAAGCAAGGATGGATGGATAGAGGGATGGGTGGGAGGTATGGATGAATGAAATAGGATATGTGTGATGAGTTGGATTGATGGATGGATGTAACTGAATGGATGGGATGAATGGATGGAATAAATGGATTTGATGAATGGATACATAGATGAGATTAGAATGCGATTGATGGATGGATGAGTTGGATTGATGGATGGATGGAATGAACGGATGGTATGAATGGATGGAATGAACGGATGGGATGAATGGATGAAATGAACGGATGGGATGGATGGATGGATGTATGGGATGAATGGATGGAATAAATGGATTGGATGAATGGATAGATAGATGGGATTAGAATGCAATATTGATGGATGGATTGAATATGATAAACAGATGGGATGGACAGATGGATGGATGGTATGGGACAGATGGAAAGAGATGGATGGATATGATGGAATGAGATAGATGGATGAAATGGATAAATGAAAGAAAGAAAAAAGGAATCCTTTACAAAATTGGCAAGTAATCCAAGCTACATCCATCCGCAACCACCATCATCAAAAAGAGTGCCCTATGGATACCGACCACCACAGCTAATCATAGCCCAAGCGTGATCGTCAAGGGAGACAGACTCACGGTATATAAGAAGACCACCTTCCAGTCTACACCATCGCCTGATGAAGACTAGCAGTAGCAGTCGAAATATTGTGGTCCTCCCAACTGCCAGAATCGTGAGACAATTAAGCTACGGACACACGATGCAACATTGCGCGAATTTTGCATGCCAATGATGTTGCGAGCCATGACACACGACGCAATTTGTTGCACGAAACGTTGATGAAGTAGAAAACTATCCTCAGGGTTCGTGCTGAGGTAACCACTTAAAATTCAAGGACTATTCGAGGAGTATGCAAGACCCAAAAATGAATTTTCAAGCAGTATGTTCAGCTAACTATGCCAAGTTTTACACGGTGGTTGCATATGGCCGACTTTCAGATTTTCCAATCTTTCTGACTAGATCTATTGCAGAACTATGCAAGTAATGATCAAAGCAAAAATTCAAGGAGTTTCGCTAATATCATAAAATTCAAGAGCTTCTCAAGTGCCCTTGAAAACGTGAATTAAATTCAAGGAGTTTTCAAGGAGTTTAAGGAGTAGCACGAACTCTGTATCCTACTTCAGCAACATCGCCTGCAATGTTGTGCGCAATGTTGCACCGTGGTTCTGTGCCTTTAATAAGTATAATCTTTGATATGAATAATGTTTTCCATTTTAAGAGTGGCTTACTTCGGTAACAGTTACTGAACGTTCTTTGGCGTCTTGAATGATCTGATGAACTTCATTCGCATATTGCTTTAACAGGGTGGGGACAGGATTGCAGCATGCCAATACACCCGTTGGTTCCCTGCATTAAAAATATACCGAAAAAAACATAATTAGATTAAGTTCAAGACTCTTTTTTCTGAGTCTTTCAATTTGTAGCTGCATAAGTTGCTTGTTATATACTGCGAAGATCAGCTTAATTTGATACATTACAACCGCAGTACATAAAGGATATTACATGGGCGCTAGGAGATACCAAGTTTATCTTCGAGTGTTGAAAAGATCTCTCACAAGTGAGCGCAGCGAACGAGTGTAGAAAATTTTCAACACGAGAAGATAAATTTCGTATCTCCAAGCGCCCATGTAATATTCTGTTTATTATATAATTATCCATAAAATCAACTTAATAAGCTTTTTATTATTATAACTAACTAATTTTTGTTTTATTTCTTTTATTGTTCATTCGAATCATGCAAATGTTTGTCGAACCACGCTATAGAATATAACGTTGACCCTCATGATTGTCCAAGCGCGTTATAGATTGTCAATGATTATGCTAATAGCACTAATGAATTTTCACTTTTGGGTAAATGATTGTCCATAAATGCAATTGTTTGTCATTTGGTGTTATTGAAGTTGAATTTCGCGCACAGGAAAATACATTCCGCGCATATGAATGTACAAACGCGCTATTGATTGTCCATTGATGCCTATGAATGTACACGCATATTCAATTGTCGTTATTGAAAGTTGATCCGCGCTAATGATGTTACTTGTGGTGTTGATGAAAGTACATTACACGTTATTGATACAACTATTGGCACAAATGAATGTACATTTTCTGTTAATGAACGGCAAAAGGTGTAATAGCTTAAATACACATGGTAACGATATTTTCACATGTGAAAATAACATGTTATTTTCGCATGTGAAAATATCAGTTTTTCGAAAAGGAGAAATATAGGTTTTTTATGGATAATTATATGATAAAAATATATATTTCATATATATATTCTCATACGCATATATATCTTTCCGTTCCATCCATAAGTTGCTTCATATACTGCGAAGAACAGCTCAATTTGATACATAATTAGATTATGTATGACCTCCTTCATTATGTGAGATTTTTAAATTTGATAACGTTTTTCTATTGGGGGAGGGGAGGGTCATCACTAAAATTTTGAAGAAGGTCATACATAATAAATCTTATACTCATTAATTATTCATGAGCTCATCGACCAACCAGGGTTTCTTATTTGTACCACGTGCAGTAGTTTGAAACCCCTATCAAATACGACCTCACCCATTTCAAAGTCCTACTACTCGGACTTTCAAAGTACTAGAACTTTGAAATAAAAACAAACATAACAAAAAGAGTATAAGATGTTGCGTCAAATACTCGTCACTGTATTCTATTGGGGTTTTGAAATTCCACTCGGATTTTGAAACCCCAATAGAATACAGCAACTCGTATTTGAAACTTACTTAGATTATGTATGACCTCCGTCATAATGTGAGATTTTAAAATTTGATAACGTTTTTCTATTGGGGGAGGGGAGGGTCATCACTAAAATTTGCAAGTTTTATGGACGGACAAACCTGGGTGTCCATTTGGGACCATTTCCTTACACAAGTGTTTGTTGTGAAAAGTGATCGTCAGGGTGAGTGTAGTCTTGAGAAAGACTGTTTTTGGTGGCGACTGACGTTTCGAAAACGTGAGCGGAAGTCATCTTCAGAGTCCAGTGAGAAAACGAGAGACAGTCGATGGTATTTATACCTCTGGTTCGGTTGTAATGTAAACGGTAATTATTCGGTATTGTTATGTAAAGATGTGTGGGTGTTATCACAAGTCGCAGTCTTTTGTTTGAGGTCGTAAATGAGTCTTTTGAATGAGTATTTTGAACTTCAACACCTGGGTTCAAACCATTACCCTTTTATACAAGTGTGTCGTTGGCATACATGTTAACAGACAGTGCATTCATTTATCTGTGATTTGACTTTTAGTCTTAGRGATCTCACAACTTAGCTACTGGGCGGGAATGTAATAACTTTATTTATTCCTTACTTTTAGGAATAGCCCTGTCGTCTTTCAAGGGTTGTCTACCTTTTCAAACTACTTTCAAGCTCGACTCCAGGAATAGTCCAGTTTCGAATTCCAAATTACCGCTGTGTTCCTTGATTACAGACTCATTT